CCATGCCCCCTCCCCCTCCGTGCCCGTCTGGAGTGATTTATTATGGGGCCACCCCCCCCCCCCCCAGTTGGAGAAAACTCTGGAACATTTCCAGTCCTCAATGTCACAGAACCAGTTCCTTACTCCCGTGCGTAAATCAGGTCTACGGGACTCTGAGACCATCTTAGGACTATTTTGGGACATTAATAACCAAATATACTCATTTAGTAAATTATTTAGAAAGCACCTAAGGTCTGTGTCGCATTCAGTATGAATGGATCCGTTTGTGCTCCATAATAGTAAAAAGAATCAGGAGATAAAGTTAAATAGAATAGATAGAATAAAATACGTTGGAAAAGAGACCCAAATTATTAATGAGAATTAAAATAGATGCTTGCAGATTTAATAGACTCCTTTATACCTCAATAACCCAAAAATCAAAGAAAGGAACAGCAGAATTTGCTTGTTTCTGTTCTTTTCTCGCTCATTTTCGGGAGAAAATGCGTAAAATATTTCCCTTTTTTTTTAGATATTTCTCATTATCTCTCATTTGAATTTAAAACCACAGATTACCAAAAACACTAAAAAAACAAAGAAAACACTTTTCATCCAAACTGAGACCCAGAACTTGATCGATTGATCGATCAATTGATTAATTAATCCATTTAGACAGAATAATGAACAGTCTGCTGTATACAGTGGGGGAAATAATTATTTGACCCCTTGCTGATTTTGCAGGTTTGCCCACTTACAAAGAATGCTTATTTTTCCTCATCAGATGGTTATCAATTTTTATAAATTCACATGATGTGATTTTCTGGAATTTTCTTTGGGATTCTGTCTTTCACTGTTAGAATGTACATATGATTAAAGTTATAGATCGTTGCATTCTTTGTAAGTGGGCAAACCTGCAAAATCAGCAAGGGGTCAAATACTTATTTCCCCCACTGTACCTGTACCTGGTGGTTTAAGTAAGGTTTTGGTACCTGGTGGCTTAATAAGGTTTAGTTACCTGGTGGCTTAATAAGGTTTAGTTACCTGGTGGCTGAATAAGGTTTAGTTACCTGTAACTGGTGGCTAAATAAGACTTTAGTTACCTGTATCTGGTGGCTTAATAAGGTTTTGGTATTTACCTGTACCTGGTGGCTTAATAAGGTTTAGTTACCTGTACCTGGTGGTTGAATAAGGTTTGGTTACCTGTACCTGGTGGATGAATAAGTTTAGTTACCTTTACCTGGTGGCTTAATAAGGTTTTGGTACCTGGTGGCTAAATAAGGTTTAGTTACCTGTACCTGGTGGTTGAATAAGGTTTTGGTATTTACCTGTACCTGGTGGCTTAATAAGGTTTAGTTACCTATATCTGGTGGCTGAATAAGACTTTAGTTACCTGTACCTGGTGGCTGAATAAGGTTTTGGTACCTGGTGGCTTAATAAGGTTTAGTTCCCTGTAACTGGTGGCTTAATAAGGTTTTGGTATTTACCTGTACCTGGTGGCTTAATAAGGTTTAGTTACCTATATCTGGTGGCTTAATAAGGTTTAGTTACCTGGTGGTTTAAGTAAGGTTTAGGTATTTACCTGTACCTGGTGGTTTAAGTAAGGTTTAGGTATTTACCTGTACCTGATGGTTTAAGTAAGGTTTAGGTATTTACCTGTACCTGGTGGCTTAATAAGGTTTAGGTATTTACCTGTATCTGGTGGCTAAATAAGACTTTAGTTACCTGTATCTGGTGGTTTAAGTAAGGTTTAGGTATTTACCTGTACCTGGTGGTTTAAGTAAGGTTTAGGTATTTACCTGTATCTGGTGGTTTAAGTAAGGTTTAGGTAGTTACCTGTACCTGGTGGCTTAATAAGGCTTTGGTATTTACCTGTATCTGGTGGTTTAAGTAAGGTTTTGGTATTTACCTGTACCTGGTGGTTTAAGTAAGGTTTAGGTAGTTACCTGTACCTGGCTGGAGCTGGTCCAGTGGTCCGGGTCCCCCCCGGTCCAGGGGTCCCCCCCCCCCCGGGGTTTGTTTCCCCCTGGGCGGCGGCGGCCAGCATTAGCATCAACGGCAGCAGCAGCTTCATGAGACGCTTTTTCCTCAGACTCAGACTCAAAAACTGAACTGGAAACAGAACTGAGAGGAGAGAGAGGTTTGGGACCCTGCGGCTCTCAGTTAGTCCATAACGCACGCAAACGTGCCACAATACGACTCCAGCCTCTGCACAGAGCCTCTCTGCGGATTTGTCTCTTTGTCTCTTTGCCTCTTTGCCTCTTTGAGTCCTGTTTTCTTTCGGTCTCGTTGCCTACTGTCCTCTGTTCTTTTTGCCTCTTTGCTTCTTTTTCTCTTTGCCTCTTTGTCACTTGTCCTGTTTGCCTCTTTGTCTCTTTACGTCCTGTGTTTTCTCTACCTTTTTGCCTTTTTGCCTCTTGTCCTGTGAGATGTTTGCCTCTTTGCGTCCTGTCTTCTCTTTGTCTCTTTGCCTCCTGTCCTGTGAGCGATTTGCTTCTTTGCCTCCTGTCCTGTCTTGTCTTTGCCTGTTTGAGTCCTGGGTTATCTTTGCCTCTTTGTCTCTTTGTCTCTTGTCCTGTTTGCCTATTTGTCTCTTTGCCTCCTGTCCTATGAGCTGTTTGCTTCTTTGCCTCTTTGCTTATTGTCCTGGTTTCTCTTTGTCTCTTTGCCTCCTGTCTCCTCTCTCCGTCTCTGTGTGCTCTCTCCTGTCCGGACCGCCTTTATAGCATCCCGGGAGGCGTTGCTTAGTAACGGGGGCTGAGTAGTGAGATTACTCTGTCACGATTACCAAACTGAAGCCTTCACCGGGTCTATTTCTCTCAGAAACACGCGGGCTGCTACCAGCTTTAGTCGCCTCACACATTTAATTATATTATTTTCTATATCTATTTAATTATCTATGATATCCAAGTACGGAGACCTTAATTAACCACTTAGTTTTATTTAGAATGGGTCCATATCTGAGCAGTTAAAAACTATGTTTTTGTACTAATATGTGTGATATTTGATTAAAGAGAAGATCAAACTATCATGAGTAATTTGGAGACTTTTGGGGTGACTTCCTGTTTGGAAACGGACGGATGTGATGGATTCTGTTTAGATGGTGACTCATTACTTTGTGCAACTTTTCAAAGGACGCCATCTTAAGATTTTATTGATTCACTTTAAAAACCGACGTAAGACCTACGTAAGCACCACGCGCTGCCATTTATGCAAATTAACCCTGCAAAAGTCTGGACATTAAAAGTACAAACGACATCTGTGGACTGTGTAACTCTATTTGCTTTCTTTGCTCAGGTTTTTTTTTATTTGATTACGTCAGAAAACGGATCTTTCTGTTGACCTTTGCCTCCTAAAATGCACATTTTGCTCCACGGCCTGCTTGATTTAATCGTTTTTTTTCTATTTTTCTCCATTTTATTTGATTGAATTTTCTCTTTTTGAACAACAAACCTTCAGAGAGCAAATGTAACATTATAACATGTACTTTTACACTTACTTTCACTCATGCACTCA